GGAGGAATGGTGGGAGGAAGAAGAGGGAGGAGGGTTATTACGTTACTCGGGATGTTCATGACGCTTATCCTGAAAAGGAGGTGGAGGAGGATGGTGGCGGCAAAAGGATGGCGGTATTGGCGGTTGCGGCTATCTTTTTCTCTCTCCCACCCTTTTTCCTCTTTCTCTCACATATAAACGCACATATATACATATATATACACACATGCATAGGAATCTACGTAGCGGCTCGTTTCTCCGTTCTTTCTGTGCTCCCGTCGTTCTCACGGGGCGAAGCGGTTCAGTGCAACGTCCTCGACGCCCATAGCAGCCGCCACAGGTACCGTCGTCGTCACAGTCACCGTCACCGTCACCGACGCCGACGCCATCGTCGTCGCAATCGCTGTCGCCGTCGTCGTCGCCGTCGCCGTCGCCGTCTCCTGTCGCCATCCCCGAACACCGTTCTATACCTATCTTCTTCTTCTTTATACGTGTGTTTGTGCGCGCGCACATACGCACGTATATGCATGCATGCATGCATGCATGCATTTTACTCACCTATTGTGTATTTGTGTAGGGAGAGGACTAACGTAAGCGAGACGACAATGGTCAGTGGCATAGGTGGTGGCTTCGCTCGTAACGCGCGTACTTTGCCTTTACGGCTGCCGCGTTAGACTTAATTAAAAGCTCGAATCATCCCTCTCGTAAATGAGAGCATGCGAAAGAGAGAAGGGGTATGAGAGATTAAGGGGGAGAAGAGACAGAGATGATATAGCTTGCAGAGATATTAACGTCGCATTCGTATGCGACGCTCGCGTGGCGATCCAATAATTCCGCGTTGAGGGAAAACGCACTTCGTTATCCCTCTATACTCCTCAGGAAATTACATGTCCTCTAAAGTCTGAGCTGATACGATAGGTTCAGCGCTTTTTTTTTTATCTGCCCTTCTTTCACAAATGTGGGTTATTGTTTATCAAATGTTCCTTTTCCTCTTTTCCTTGTTTTTTTTTTTTTTTCTTTATCTATGTAATAGTTTATTCAAGATAAACTATTGTAAGAAATAAATGTTTAAAATATTATTATTCTATGTGTATATTAAAAGAATGATCGATTTATTATCGTAGTATCACAAAGTTATTCACTTTTTAATCACAATTTTGGTATAAAAATCATGAACAAAGTTTAATAAATCTGTTCGAAAAACTTTTCTCATTTCTTCGTAGGAGAAACAATTTCAAGTAATTCAAATTTATCGATCGATAATTCGTTGCATATTTAATCGTTGCACAAAGTTACTTCTGAAGAATCGTGAAACATTTGTTTCTAAACTTACAGGTTGAACTTTTCTTCTTTTTTTTTTTTTATGATCCTTAGACGTTCTAAATTTCTAATAAATATAATCGATAATTGTTAATCGTAATTTAACGTCTTCATGTTCTGTTATTATTATTTGTGTTAGATGATGATATTTTAACGTATGTGATAATAAGAAAAAATGTTTAGTTCAAGTCACAAAAAGAAAAATATTCATCAATAGTTTAGAAAATTTTCCTGCAGACGAAAAAATATTTATACTTGGCACATATGTATGTGCGCGTGTGTATAAAATGCCTGCCTATAAAATGTTTTCCAATTCGTTTTTCTTTTTTTTTTTTTTCCAAGAAACATCGTGCGAATCAAATAATCGTAACTAACAAACACGCGAGAAACGTTACCGAGCGGAAAATACACACGTTACGCGTTCTAAGGTTAAGGTCGAGGTTTCTCTCGCGAGCAAACATCAGTGAGGGTGGGGTGAGGGGTGAGGGGGGGGGGGTTAGCATCGCGAAGAAAATACGTTTAACTGCACGTCTAGTAGTTAGTAGTTGTTTGCAACGATTTCTTTTTCATAACGTGAACATTTGATATCTTTTATCGGATCGTGTATTTAAACAAAAACAAAAAAAACAAACAAAAAAATAACAAAGATAATGTCGAAGCAAAAAATCATATTTAGAAATAGACGATTGTGCAAAATAATATCATCATTAATTAATAATTAATTAATCTTGAATCTATAAATACATAATTAATGGAATGTAAATGAAGATCATTACGATGAACAGATTAATTTAAGAATGAATAATAAATTAGAAAAAAAAGAATTTTTTTAAAAATCAAAAGAAAACAGTAAGAACATATTGAAACGACGAGATTGAGAACTACTGGCGCGGATTTGTAGTAGCGTAAGCAGAGCGCGGTACTACAGATGCGTCGAGGAGGGGTGGAGGAGGAGGGCTGTTGCGCGCGCGCGATCGACGAATCCCGGCACCGTGAAACCGTGATGACGCAACCGCCAAGCGTTGGTGAGGTTGAAAGTGCGGGCGACGCGTCGCAAACGCGGCAGCTCTTCGCTGCTGTATATATATACGTATATAGGTATGTATGTATGCATGGGCGCACGCGCGCGTATATGTGTTATAAGTGTGCGTGAAAAGCTTCGTCGTCGTCGCCGCTTTGCGTGGGAGTAGGAGGAGGAGGAGGAGGAGGGCTTTAAGTCGCGCTTGTGACTTTTCTTCCTTTGAGAATCCAAAGAATTTTACACAACGTGTCTCGCATTGTTCTATCACGCCACGTGCTTCTTACAAATTCTTTTAATAATTTGATAATATAATTAATGAATGAAACTTTACTTGATAAATATGATCGACATTTTAGAATTGTGTTATTTTAACATAATCGAAAATAATATAACGATTACCAAAGAAAGAAAAAAGTAAAAGAATACAACGTATATATATATATTTACTAAAAAGAATGCGTCCCTTTTGGAGATAACTCATACTTTTCGTAGAAAATTTCCCTCAGGATAGCGCGTAAGCTTTTTCGAAATGATAAGGTCTCTTTTCTCTTTTCCGTAAGAGCGCTAGGTAATGGAAAAAGTTTCGGCAGGTTTTAAGGGAGGTGTAGATAGTCGGATAGCGAGTATCGGGTGGGTGACCGACACGGTGCGCAGGTAGCCCGATGTTTCACCCCCACCCTCCTGCATTTCACTTTGGCTGATGCCACGCGAGCGAACGTATGAAACGTACAACTATTGGAATTGTGTGCGACGATAATACGTCGTACGGTATAGAACGACTACACGATGGTAGGATGGTAGTATTAGGTTCTTGAAAGAGGGAGTGAAAAAGGGAGAGTAGGGGAGAGAGTCTCTCAAAGTCCGTCCTCGTCGTCATCGTCGTCGTCGTCGTCGTCGTGGTTGGTGGTGGCATCGAGGCATCCGGTAGGAGCGTCGCCCGCCGTTGCTGCGTCGTCGTCGTGTAAAATCACATGCATACATACAAATTCTCATACACATATCTACAAAACACAAATTCATATGTATATAAAGAAACACACATATCCATATATATATATAAAATACTACAATACTACATGTATAAAGGAGAAGGAGTCAGGGGCACATCGAAAGGAACGAAACAGCTTCGGGTTAGGTCGGACTCGTTCGGAGCATGCTATTCACCGAAGTCGGCCGATGTTCACCGAGTAGAGTTGGTCGACTAGCGTCGCGCAGCCAGGATAGCAAGCGAGCAAGTAAAGCAAGCAAGTAAAGCAAGCAAGCAAGCAAGCAAGCTGGCAGGCAAGCCGGCAGGCAAGCAAGCAAGGAGGCAGGCAGGCAGGCAAGGAGGCAGGCGAGGCCTCCTCTTTCGAGTGTCGAGTCGGGGAGTCAGTGGCTGACGATTCCTCGGGCCGTCAAGTTGTTCGTGCGGGGGATGTCGATGTCTTGCGCTATCACGAAACCACGTGCGCCGCGTGACAGTTCCAATAGACCCGTGGGAGGAAAGGTTCGTTGTGTCGCTGAGCTGACGAGACGCGACATCGTATGAGCACCAATCGAGCGCGGCACAAACATCTTCCTACTTCGTTTTCCTTCACATTTTATTTTATTTTTTTATTTTTRATATTGTTTTAACATTGCAATCTCAACGACGATAACTGTACGACGATCTTCTACAAATCTTGTCTTTTCTTATTCTTTCCATTTTCTTATTCTTCTTTTTAAAAGAAAATGCACTTTTTCATATTCATCTTCTCTTTCAATCTTCATCATTTTCGTCTTCATCGATCGTCTATCAAAATCTTTCATTATTTATCATAGTTATAAAAAGAAATTTCCGGTAGATTATGAAATTCTCTCCCAGATTAAACCGTCTCCATTCGACCTTTGGTAATTTTCGATAAAATATTACTTTACGAACGGATCGATACTCGTTGGAAGAAATAAAAAATCAAAAAAAAAAAAAAAGGATTTTGATTAATATCGATCAGTGAATAGTTTTTTTTTCATTGACGTGATTATAAAAAGAATCAAAATACATCGATTGTGAATATGAGTGCTTTAAACGAGAAGAATGTCAAATTTGATCTTATCTGTCACTTCTCGTGTAAAATAGTAAGATTAAACGCGTTCTAAGAAAAAAATCGATTCTATTAATCGATCTCGAGTATTTAAAAGCTTTTACTTCTATTAGTAATCACAATTTTAATTGATTTCAAATTTATAAGCACTCTCATATTCTAATAATACACGATTTCGTAGATTAAACTTTAAATTGATTGATATAAAAAGAATAAATGAATAATATCGATCATCATAAATCATCTAGGGTATCTCAATCTTGTCTCAATGTTGATGTTGGATGCTCCCTTACGTTTGAAGGAGATAGCGCGAAGAAAATATGAATCGGGCCGAATCGAATAGGTAACGCGTGTAAATTAGTTGCGGGACGGCCGCGCCTGGGACAAGAAACGGAATAATAACGACCGCGACCGGAAGGAGAAGGCAACGACGACAGAGACGGGGAAAGGAAGAGTAAGAGGGATCAAAAAAAAAAAAAAAAGAAAAAAGAGAGGAAGAAAGCAAACGAGAGAAAACTTCACGAATGCGATAGGAGTGGGAGAGAGGGGTGGGGGAGAAAAAGAGAGAGAGAGAAGGAAGTCACGAAGGTTCGGATAGAAGAGATAGATAGATAGATAGAGTAAGAGAAAGAGAAAGAGTGAGTGAGTGAGTGAGTGAGAGGCTAGAAGGGTATTGCGAAAAGAGGAGGGAGGAGGTGGAAAGATTTCTGGGCACGCGCAGTCCACCTGCTAGCATGTAGTGGCACGCGCCGTACCAACCCTTCTCCATCAGCATCACCAGCACCACTACACCACTAACAGTACTACCACCATCAAGAACGGTAGCAGTAGCAGCAGCAGCAGCAGCAACAGCAGCGGCACAGCCGCTAGCATCGTTTGGCCCTCTCCACCTAACCAACCAACCTCTACCTCTCTTTCCACCAGTGTTCTGTTAGTGCGACGACGGCAGAGTCGAACACTCCCTCCCTCGTCGCGGCGCGGCGCGGCGCGGCGCTTCGTTCTCCTCCACGGCCGTCGCGCCGTTTCTCCCACCCTCTCCCCCTGAACGTTCCTCCCTCCGGAACGGTCCCCTCGCGCGTGCCGCGCGGGAGTCAATCGCTCGTGGACTTCGACGAGGCGAGCACACGCGGTGGCTCTCCTTTCTCTCTTCTCTTTCTTCTCTCCTCTCCCGACGTCGTTCGTGCGTGACGTTTTCGACGTGAAAAAAAAAAGAACACAAAAAAGTAAGAGAAAGAAAATAGTACGATCGACGTCGTTCGCCGCCGTGTCTCTTTTGACGTTTCACTCTTTCTCTCTCTCTCTCTCTCTTTCTATCTCTTTCTCACTTACTCTCAATCTTTTTCTTCTTTTTCGATGATTCCTCTCTTCATATCCCTGACAAACTCTTAGGTGTTTCTTTTAATTGGTTGTAGTAGTAATTCTTCGATGTAGCCGCATAGGTGAAAAAGAAGATAAAAGATCGATAAAGGAAATAAATAAATAAGTGTTTGAAATTAAAAAATTGGAGTGGCGAAAAGAAGATTATTTCTGTCGATAAGGTGTGAAGCAAAGAAAATAATAAGAAAAAAGAAAGAAAGAAAGGGGGAGAAGAAGGAAGAAGAAACAGAGAATTACGAAGTAGTAGGAAAAAGTAGGAGAGAGAGCGTACGGCAGGCACGAGCGTAGCCGGCCGATGTTCGCGTATGAAAGAACCCGGTCGGCCTCTTCCGCCTTCTCCTCCTCATCCTCTCGCGAGAGCACCGCGAGGAGGGAAACGTCATCGATTAGGAGAAGTTTTATCTAAGAGCCGAGACCGGTGTGTGGAGGAGAATAACGACGAGGAGGACGAGGACGACGGTGAAGACACAGTCCTCGTCTGTTAAACGTTCTTTTTCCTCTCGCGATCCTCTCGAAGAAAATAAAAGGGAAGAAAGACTCTGGATTGTTTGAAAGAAGAAAAGTCAGCCAGCCAGTTGTTCGTTGCGGTCCGTGGATTACTTCGAGTCTCTTTGCTGGAGAAGAACGCATTCGAGTGGGCCGGCCGATGCCCGCTGATCCGCCGCCGCAGACTTTTTCCGTTCGTTCGTATCCGCCGTAGTGGAAAAGAGGCAGGGAGAGAGGGAGAGGACAAGTACACTTTTCTTGATCGTTATTCCGCGCAACGAACGTTTATTCATCGACTCATCGTTCTTCTCTTTCTCTCTCTCTCTCTCTCTCTGTCTGTCTTGCTTTCGCGTTCTCGCAAAACCACCTGTTGACGATTTACGAGGGAAAATCTACGTCGTTCTACCTTATGAAACGTCATTGTTATCGTCTTTTGACCATTTTCTTTCCAGAAGGATCCGGAAAATGATTAATTCAACTTAAATACAAGACGTCATTCCAAAGAACGTGTGCTAAAAACAATCTCGATCATAGTGTTGTTTAAATATCTTGACTATTATAACACGTGAAAGAACAAAAAAAAATAAACATTGTCTCCTATTCCTTATGATTTGATTTGTTTTCGATTGATCGAAACGTGTCGTTAAAAAGAGGAGAGAGAGAGAGAGGAAGCCAAAGCGCAGCAGCAGCAGCAACAGCAACAGCAACAGCAACAGCAACAGCAGCAGCTGTCCCTTTCGTCTGACTCGGAGAGTACAGTGTACTCTCGTTGCATCGGAGTGTGTTTTTCTATGTCAATGTTATCCGCCCGTTGACGTGATATCGGTCAGTTACATCGGCGCTGCCTGAAAAACTTCTCGGTGTCAACGGGGTCACGGAACGTTCTGTGTTGATTACAGACACTCTGTGAAACGCCTTTCGGACAGGTCCGTTCTCTTTCTCTGTCGTTATTATGCATTTTTTGTTCTGTTAAATGATAAAACGAACAATCAAAAATTCTTGAAAGAAAAGAAAAAGGAGGAAGAAGAAGAGAGAGAGACGAAAACGATTAATCAATCCTTTCTACGAAATCTCCAAAGACGATCGATTCAAAGTGATAGCTAGTCAAATAATAAATAATTAAGAATAAGAATTAAAGTGACATTTCCAAAGAGGAAATTGAAACTTTTTCGAAATATTTCTTTCGAAAAGAAAGATATATATATATATATATATATATATATATAACACGAGTGATTTTCGTTGTGTTATTCGCTGACGACGACGACGATAGCGTTAAACAAACTTCGACGACCTTCCGCGCACGTAGAACTTCGCCGGTATCTGCAAGGTGAACCGATAACGTTTTTGTAATAATAATATATAAAGCCATTGAGATTGGACTTATTCGAAAAACGAGCATCAACAGTTAGCTCGTTATTGTTCTTTCGAATCAATCGTGGTTAATTTTATTCTCTTACATTTTTCTTTTTTTTAATTAAATCACATCGATACGCGAAGTGTGGGGAAAAAAAAACAAGGAGAAATTACGAAAACTCTCATAAACTTTCGTTATAGTGAAGAAAAAAAAGTGCTGTAGTAACGCATAAATTTGTGTGGATAAGCTCGCTGGAAGAGCAACCAAAAACAAGTCATTAATCATTAAAAATTCATTAAACTTAATTAGAAAAAAAAAAGTAGTGAACTGTGGACAGTGCATTTGAAAAAAAGGGAGAAAAATAGTGCATCGAACAAAAAAAAAAGAAAAGAAAAAAAGATTAAGAAAAGTGATCGAACGAGAATAAACATCGTGTGATCGAAAGAGGGTATGGTGGGACCGGCACAACCAGGGCCTTAGGCCCGGGTGGCCGACCTCTCAAAGAAGAATCTTATATCTGACCCGTCAATTTGCACCATTAAGCTGCCTGGAATGATGGTACGTTTATTTTTCTCTATCATTTATTAAAAATACATAATATTTGATAACGTTTTTCTAACGAATTCGATAAACTTCGTCATGTATATTCAAATTCAAATATATATCCTATATCGTAAATACTCAATCGATATTATCGAAAATATTTTGTTTAATTTTCCATCGATAAAAATATTCGTTTTCAAAATATTAACATATTCTAATCAATTTGTCGTATTTATTTATTTATTTATTTACTTAGAAAATCAACGTAAGATAAATCTAATATTTCAATAAATAAATTGATAAAATAAAAAATAAAAATATCAAATCATAATAAAAATCGCGTCATTTTGTTATGGTTTAGAAATTCGTGATATTTATTTAGAATATCAACACAAGATAAATCCAATATTTCAATAAATAAATTAAGAAAATTCAAAAAAAAAAAAAAAATAAAAAGAAAAAAAAAAAAAATATTTGAACCGTTTTCTTAATTAAAAAAAGAGAAAAGTGTGGGAGTAAAAATATCAAATCATATTAAAAATCGTGTTATTTTGTTATGGTTTACAAATTGGTGATAAGAATACGCGCGCGTATGAGTGTCAATAGAAAAAAATTCCACTAGGAAACTTGATATCTTGATATAGTGTTTATCAAAAAAAAAAAAAAAACTAAAAATAGGATAAAAATAAAAACAAAATGTAATTTATCGCATCTGACACGAAATCGCAAAGATCTTCAAGGTTAAAATAAACGATGGACACGTACGCGCAAGCACGTATTACGCGGCCGTGACAATAGAGTCGACGAACATCGTCGTCGTGGTGTTCGTCGTCGTCGTCTAACGGCATTCTAGCGGTCGACCGAACGATAATAGGAGGAGGACTTTGCGATATTCGCATCGTTCGAAAGACGAACCTGAAGTTTTCCTCTGTTTGGTCTCGTGGTTGTCCCGATCTTATCGATCTTTTCATACTTCCACAAGGTAGTCACAAAATGATGACAAATATGTCTCATAATTTTCCAAAATCATTTCTTTGATTTTGGTCCAGACATAATGTTTGATTGATTATTTTATTGAAGTAACTTTGACAGTTACCTTTACGTAAACAAAACAATTTTTTTAACCGTATTTTTGTAAGTAGGAAAAGAGTGGTTTGTTATATTTCTTAAAATTGTATTTTCAGCATATATTATACATTATATTTATATATTATAATATGGTAATTTAATTATATAAATTAAATTATATAATATTAGTATATTATCATATATATATATTATATTTTATATTATATAATATATTATAGAGTATATTTTCATAAGTTAAAGCTTATAAAGTATAATATTAAAATATTATATATTATATTATATTTTGTTAAATTAAAGTTGGAATTAATGAAATAAAACTATGTGATTTGTGATTCACTTTAAAAAAAAAAAAACCATCTTCTATACCTTAAATCGTTCATTCTATATTGACCGTTATCAATGAAATCGTTTCCTTATTACCCAATTTAATCGAGTTTATCGTTAAATAGAACGATATTCCCACTAGCAACGTAACTGACGTAACTATCATCTACTAATTACTTAAGCCTCTCGTTCGTACGGTTATTTAATAAAGAACATTGCGCGTAGATACATACGTATCCGTGATGTTCGTGTTCGAATCTAAGAACTCGATTACGCAAATAGACGCGGTTAGACGTCTTTGAATATGGAATAAAAACTTAATGTTTATCTTTACTTCGTTTATATGATACTAACGATAAATTCATTCCGCGAATATTATGATATTAAAATATTCCTACAAAGGTAAACCCTTTTGATCGAATCATTTTTATCAACACGTTTTCAAAATGCAGTACAGGTTGTTTTGTAACAAAAATAAATCAATCTTTGAACGATCAAATGTAATAAGTAAATTTGATCATTTATATGATACAACCATTTATATGGCTATTTTGAATAAATCCAAATGAATATTTTATCTTGCTGAAGTTAATGATTGATCCCTAAAGAAAGGGAATAAATGACCAGGGGCAATTATTTGATTAGTAAATTTAATCTATCTTGAGTATAATACGTTGAAAAACATGTCGTTGTACGGATCGATAACACGTAGATAATACTTCATTTTTTTTTTGTCTTTTTTTTTTTTTTAAGGGTTTTTACATAGCTTCGTTCGCACATAATAATTATTATCGAGCGTCACGAGGGAGAGAAAGAGACAAGCCGTACTTATCGTTATTCGCGTTGCAATTAACTAACGCGAAGAGGTGGTGCATTCCCCTTTTCGTTCACGTGGGTGGAAAGGGAGTGAGTGAGTGAGTGAGTGAGTGTATGAGAGAGAAATGGATAGAAGGGGTAGGAGAAGTAGCTTCGAGTCCACGTTCCAGCTCTGGCAGGTCATAACGGGGGAACGTGCTTCGTACGGCCGGTTGGTTCGTGGCTAAGCGTCGGAATTATTTATACCACTTGATTACACGCGTTTGCTACCGGACAAAGCCGACCGAGAATCCGAAGGTGCACGAGCAGCAACAGCAGCAGCAGCAGCAGCATTACGAGCAGCACTCGATTGACTAACTGGAATAAGACGTTTGTTCGTCTTATTTAGATTCACTGAAGAATAGATAAAGTGTGAATGAAAAAGGGATAGATATATAGTGACCGTATATACAATATATTTTTAATCCATCTGGATCATGCAACATTTTCATTCAATCATATTGGTGAATATCGCAATATATATTTTTATATTTACATTTATGATTGAAATTATCAAATTTGTGATAAAAAAAAAAAAAAAAAAAATGTCAGTATGATTGTTCATGTTGTTGTTCATTTTTTATTTATATTTAATATTATGTACGATCGAACGAATTTATTTGATCGAATACTGAGTTTAAATAAATGTAATAATTTTGATGATTAATTGAGATGAGATAGACGGAATATTAGATAAGTCGTTGACCAGTTGTGATTCGCACAAGAGAAATATCGAGAGATTCGTGGCATAAGTTATCGACCTACTTTCATACTGAGGAAAATGTAAGTTCCATCGAGCAAGTTGTTTGTCCTGAAACTACACGACTTCTTACGACGAGTCGTATATTGAGCCGGGGTTCGCGCGATAAAGTTTGTTTTAGAAACCGAGTAGGTGGACATCGTAGTATACAAAGTTTCACCGTGGTAACATTTCGTAAATGATAATCACGAAATTGTATCGTATTTTGAAATTGGTGTTATTTTTATCAATAGACTTTAAACCATCCATACCTTTCGTTGTTGTTGTGTAGTGTATTTAATAACAAAGATTAATGAATGAGTTTTTCTGATTAATATAAAAGAATTGTTTTTACTTTTCCAAAAATCAAATTTTAATTTGATTTGATTTGATTTGATTGAATGTTATTCGAATTTTGAAAAAGTCATTTGGTTCTTTTTTCTTTTTTTTTTTTTTTTTTAAATACATAAACATGTAAAAAATCTATATTTAGGTAACATGATTTGAAACGGATGCGATGATTCTTATTTACGTAAAAGTAAGTTGTATCATACATTGTAAATGATAAGCTTTGAAGAATAATAATATTGTTTTCTCAAAATGTTTCTTTCTTCGATTTATCCACCTTCGGACGATTTAATTTTATCAGTCGCTCGGCACGGCCTTTGCACATTTCCGTTCCATTCCATTCCATTCCGTTCCGTTCCGTTCTTTATCGTATCGCGACGAATATTTGAATAAAATACGAATCTCTTATTACACATTTGCGCACGCGTTCACTCACTCTTCTTGTATCGCGCACGACATATAAAAAACTCAACTAATTTAAATAAGCTCCGGCACCATCAAGTTTCGAACGAGCAATTTGGTTAATCGTTAAATAGATAAACGATAAAGAAAATGATTCTTGTTTTTATTTTTCTATTATGTCAAATAAAAATCACGAAAAGATTAGAAATTATTTAGTGTTAATGGATATATCGAATTGGATTTAAACTTTAGTGTGTTATCGATGCATATACGTGTTTGTTAATATTAATGTAAAATAATGTAATATGTTTGTATTAATTAATTAAATTATATTTAGAAGGAAAAACTTTAATTATTAAATATAATTTATTATTACAATCTAGTTCATAATAAATTATATTATATTTATTATATGTTATATATAATTTTATATATTAACTAATATAAAATAATAATATAACAAATAAATGGTTTATTAATATTAATTTATAATAAATTATTTCGTTCCTACGAAACATTTTAGTTAAAAGTATTCAGCACTCAAAGGGTTAATATATGACGTTGTTATTTATTATTTGTAATACTTTTTTTTTTATAAATAACAATATTACTTTCCCACATATTCATATTTTGTATTTGATTATTTTCAAAATTACGGTATCAACCATAACAAATATTTAATTGAATCTTTAAATGTTCGATTAAATCGTCATCGAATGAAAACGTTAACTTTCATTGTCTAGAAAACGAAGTTGAGAACTCACTCGAATCTCACGAGAGAAGTTTCGGGTCACTAAAATACATTCGTCGGCCTTGCCACGTTATTTAGCCTACTCTTTGGAACAAAATTTCATTCTCTCTTTCTCTCTCTCTCTCTCTCTTTCTCTCTATCTCTATCTCTATCTCTCTCTCTCAGTCTCGCGACTGACTCCTTCAATAAATTCCACTCTTTTTCCTTTTCTTTCTCATTCTATCTCTCTGTCTTTATCTTTCTAGCATTGTATTTCTCAATTCGCTTTCTCTTCTTCGTACTTGTTAGAAATATATTTAGCAGGCTAAAGGAGGGTGGCAGATATCAGCTATATGGAGTACCATCTAATAATAGTGATTCGTGACTCGCGAGTATTAACTTCGTTCATATTCCTAGATATACAATCTTTTACATATCATACATGTATATGTATATGTATATATATATATATATACTTTTATACGTAACGACACTATAGCACGGTTAGCGTCATTCAGTATTTTCCAC